TCTTTTACAATCACACTTGTACTGACTTAACTCTAAGCCAGCTTAGTATTGATACTGGAAGCTGGAAACACCCTCATTTTTTTGTAATTCTGATTTATTTAAAATTTGATATGTCGGTCGTTACACCTACAGTTTTGGTTATAATCTAAGTATTTTATGTATGCCAAGCTGTAGCAACCCACACATGATTTTAAAACCTTGGTGTGCTCTTTCGCAAACACCTTTGTACTGGTAACTTGATGCCAGCCTAGTTGTCATGTTGGAAGCTGAAAACAACCGTATTTCTTCATCGTTCTGATCTTTTTAAAGTCTCTTTACGTCGGTTGCTACACTCTCAGTTATTCACTTTCACCTATCCCGTAGACTGGATGTCCGTAGGAGCGCTTTTGAAGATTTGGCCACCAGCTTCCTTCACTCCTTCCGGTCTTCAGCTTTTCTGAGAGTGTCTTTGAGTAAGGTGCATTCCGTGATGTTGTCTTCCCAAATCTTCTTCTGTCTGTCTCTGCTCTTTTTTCCAAGGACGCTGCCTTGCAGGATCATCTTGGCAAGGCCGGATGAACGGTGATGCGCCCATACCAAATATCATTGCAGTTTGCGTTTCCTGACCAGAGTGAGAAGGGCAACATATTGTCCAATTTCATTTTTGATCCGTTAAATGACTTCATCATTTGTTATATGATCTTTGTATGAAATACCAAGGATTTTTCTTAAGCATCTCATCTCCACAGCTAAGATCCTTCTTTCAAAGTCTGCATTCAAGGTCCAGGATTCAACTGCATACCCAAAAAAAACGGACATGACCAGAGAACGCATCAGTCTTATCTGTAATGTGATGGTGATATTTCTGTTGTTCCATATGGTTTTCAACTTGGTCATTGCTGCTGAAGTTTGCGCTGTTCTGGAGATTATTTCCGGTTTTGATTATTCGTCTGTCACTATTGCACCCAGGTATTTGAAGCTCGAAAAGAAAGTGAAAAAAAAATTAATTAGATCTAACAAAACCGATAGTAACAACATCAATGACAACAACATGAATAGCAGCCACAAAATACTTATAGACGTAGCCCCAGAAAAATGTTCCAATAGATCATATGGGTGAAACGACCAGGATAGAAGGCCTGTAGGTTTACTGAAGTTTTCTTTTCTTTTTTTTTTTTTTGGGAGCATTCAGACCTTGAACTTGAAGAACTAAATAATATAAGAGGGAGGGAACCGTATAAATTGTCTCAAAATGTAACATATATTACGATTATTTCCCTTGTATTTATGCTTTTTTTTTTT